GTCCCTTATACTGATAGATATGTACGGTTGTCACCAGCACAGTCAGGTCACAGGACACTTGTGTTATTCTAGAAGTCCCCTTATACTGGTCCCTGACCCCAGGTAACCACTGATATATCTTCTATTTCTATAGATTAGTTTTAACCTTTGTAAATTTTGTATAAATGAAAACAAATAATGTGTATTTTATAAACCAACCTTTAACAGTGAAAGCAGTACACTATTTTCAGAAGCCATAGCCACTGTAGCTTTCCTAATCAAGATGAATTCCTGTACCAAACTGCACAGCACAGTACAGTGTGTCCCCTGTGCAGGCAGCAGCCCCATTGAGCTCCAGCATGTAGTGGACCCACATCTGTTCAGAAGCAGTCAGCATCCACCTCCCCACACTGTCTGACTGTCTCCATGGCTGTGCTGGCTCTGCGCATTTCCTATGAGCGACATCTTCTCTATACCTGGCTTTCTTCATTGACGGGATGCTTTCTAGACAGACGTACATCATATTGTGAAAGCATCCTTGACGTGCTGTTATTCCATGTGAACTCATCTGTTGTGTGTGTTCATGTACACATGTTTTTCCAAGGTCTGTTTTCACAGCATTGTGTATGAGCAGCTGTGTCCCCTGTGTGGTGACTGCCACGGTGAGCAGAGGTTCCAATTTGTCCACATGACAATACTTATTTTTTTGTGCTGCTCTGTGTTGTGTGTCCTAGCAGGTATGAAGCCATGTCATCTTGGTCTTTACTTGCATCTCCCTGGCAACTGAGAGTTTGATGAGCATCTGTCTTCTTCTGAGAAATGTTCATTCCAATGCTATTCTCCATTCTTGATTGACTTATCTGCTTAGTGTGTTGTAAGAGTTGTTTATGTGATCTGAAAACTGGGCCCCAATCACATCATACAGGATTCAGACAGTTCACCTGTTGTGTGAGGTTGCTCTCACTTTTTAATACTGAACACTGAACTTGGATTTATAAACTTTTTAAGTGTTGCTCATATGTGGTGACACACTTCTTTAATCCCAGTATTTGGGAAGCAGAAGCAGGCGAATCACAGTGAATTTGGCCTATATAAGCCAGGGCTATACAGTGAGACCATCTCACACACAACAAAAAAAGTCTTGAGTTTTGATGAAGTACAGTTTGCCTGCTTTGTTGGTCATAATGTTTGGTTTGGGGTTTAGTTGTTTGGATGAGGTTTTTTTTGTTGTTGTTGTTGTTATTTGGTTGGTTGCTGTTTTTTTTCTTTGTTTTGTTTGTTGTTGTTGGTAGTGGTGTCATTTCTAAAAATGTTACTGTAATCGAAGCTACATAAAATCTCTTGTTTGTTTCCTTCTTAAAGGTGAGTTTCTTTGGTTTCTGTTCAGGTGACCATTTTGTTTGTGACACTGTAGTGCATGGCTGTGGAGTTTCTTGCTTTTTATTGAGGTGACAGTCTAAGTTCACTGGGCCATGTCACTGGGATCTGTCTGAACTTGGGGTTTTAATCACCCATCTGTGTCATGTAGATCCTTCTGCTGGTGCTGCAGCATGTACTTGCTGTGACTTTGTCTGGGGCTCTGAAATCATGACACTCCAGTTCTCTAACTTTACTGCTCGTGGTCAAGAGTGGTCCTTTCATCTGTGTGAATCTCAGGATGCACTTCTCCTTCCCTGTAAAATCAGCTGTGGCTTGTAGGTTGGTTCATGGCCCAGGACTTCACTGGGTAAGGCTTCAGTCTGGGCAAGGTCCTACTCACTTTGATCCTTAGTCAGCCTTCAGCAGGCACAACCTCACCACTGCATTACCTTCACTAAATGTCTGTCTGAGACTTAGATTCTGTTTTAAATGGAATTGCTTCCTCAAATTCCTGTTTAGATCACTCACCACTAATTTCCAGGACTATAACCATTTTTATAGATCTATCTCCTATTACATTTTAGTGGAGTAATGCTGTTTTAGTATGTTATATACTATGAATCAGATAGATAGATAGATAGATAGATAGATAGATAGATAGATAGATAGATAGATATAGTATCTGGGCAAGGCACGGTGTCCAGGAGGATCAGAAGTTCAAGGTCACCCTCAGTTACTGTTAATCCCAAAGATGTGAGGAGAAATACTACTGACCTAAATCATTATAGCCAAATTAATTAAAGCAAGCAATTAAAGCAAACCTTTTTATTTGTGTGCCTAGGCTGCCTCCTTCTAAAGTGGGATTTGAGAGGTCAGCATTGAATATGAGGAAGACAAGGCTCAGGGGTAGGGAGTTTACAAATGGAGCATTTGGCAGGCAAAATAGGCTGGATTACGGGAGCAGAATAAGCATAATAACTCAGTCCTAGTCTGGAACAAAGACATGGTTGCAAGTTGGGCATAACAAGGTCGTCAGAGTCATAACAAGGTCACCATAACACGGTAGTCCTAGGTAGCCACAGAACCTTTAAAACAAAGGTAGGGCTGCGAGATGGTTATAAACAACTTTTTAAAACAAAGACATGGCTGCCATTCCTGGAGCAGGCAGAACAGAACCACTTATAGTTAAGGTTACAGGTGGGACATAGCCTAGTCCTTGAGGAACAGAGGTTTAACCATGAACAGGAATGAACCTAGCTTGTCTTTACTATAAGATGACTTTCAATCCTAAGATGGAGGCAGGCTGGTTCTACAGTACATGGACGTTTCAAGGCTAGCCTGGGCTGTATGAGACGCTGTCTCACAAAATAAAAGAACAATGTAATTTGTAAACAGAATTTTTCTTCTCCCTCGTTTCCACTCTCCCTTGTCTTTTCTCCTTTGTCTGCTTTCTCTGGGTAGAGCTCCCTCCACAGTGCTTAGGAGCAGTGAGAAGAGAACCCTTGTCCTGGTCTCAGGGGAAACTTTCTGTAGCTCTCAACCAACTGGTTTCTGCAGGTTTTCACAGGTTCTTTCAGGCAGGCTGGGAAAACAACAACAACAAAATACCCTTCTCGTTCGTAAACACATCAAGTGTATTTCCTGAGAGATTGTTGGATTTTTCTGTACCAACTGGGATGTGCTTGCATTTCTCCCAAGTTCTTACAGTGTGGCTGCTGTCATGTTGAACCCTTGCATCTGGACAGGAGTCTGTTAATTGAATAAAGACTCAAGGCTTCACGGAGTATTCGTAAAGCTTCTCTCTTCTAAACACTGATGCAAGGGATGGATTTTTCTTCATCTTCCTGGTTTTATACAGGTGTCGAAGACTGACAGGATAGTGGAATTGGGGAGCCAAAACTTATTACAGCAGGGTTTTCTATGAACTTTGGTACATTTATTTGTGTGGTCTTATGAGGAAGAGCATGTATGTCACATTGCACGTGCGTGGAGGTCGGAGGGCAGCTTGAAGGATGCACCGTGTGGGTCCTGGGATTGTACTCAGGTGGGCTCGACCCACTGAGCCATTCTGCCATCCCTAGAGCTGGTTTTTATGGGGTTACAGTCTCAGGGCATTACCCATGGACAGGTATGTGGTGGGACACATCAGGGAAGCTGGCAGCAGAGAGTGAAAGTGCTCACTGTGTGGATGACAGGGTGAATCAGTCGGGTGGACCTGGGACCCTGTGCTCTTCCACTGTGTTCCTCCAGTGCTGGGTCATTGTGACTGTTCTGTAAACATGTTTTATAACTTGGTATCTCATTCTTGTTAAGGAAGGAAAAATCAGTGTTGAAGAGCTTGCCCTTAAATTAGTGTTTTTGATGAAAAAACAATCCAACCAAATGCCCAGTCACCCTGCTGACTTACCAGTGGTGACCAGTAACAGATCATAGTATTCTAATCAGAAACTTAGGAGGTGGGACAGCCAACCTTCTTAGGTCTTCTGGGCGTGTCTGGTTACAGTGGAAAGGGGAACTTAGCCATTGGACCTGTAATAGTTAAAAGTGTGACTCCAACCACAAAACAGACATGCATGCGAACCAGAGGAAGAGCTTCACACAACTCCTCACTGTAGTAGAAGCTGACAGCTCATGATGCTATCCTTTAATGTGGCTGTGCAGCTGATTACATGCAAGTTACATGTAATTGAACTACAGATGGGGAAAATGCATACAAATATGCATGTATCACTTCCTAACACATTGTTGGTAAGTTTTTTAAGGATACTTTTTATTTAATAATTTCAGACATGTCTACTGCCGGGTGATCATGGCACATGTCTTTAGTTGTATCACTTGGGAGGCAGAGGCAGGCAGATCTCTCTGAGTTTCTATAGAGTGAGTTCCAGGACAGCCAGAGCTACATGGAGAAAACCTGTTTCATAAAACGAAAACTTGAGGGGAAAAGATTTACTTAGAAGTCTGACAGTGGGGGTGGGGGAGAGAGGGTGGACAAAAAACCCCACCTAGCAGTCCATGTCAGTTATGCCTTCGCGTCTGTACCCTAGTGCTAAGGGGACTCAGACTGAAGGAGCAACCTAAATTTTAGGCCATCCTGTTCTGCATGCAAGTTCTAGACTAGCCTGGGCTACAGAGTAAGATTCCTCTCTTAAAATGCAAATTCATAAATAAAAGTAAGAGGAAGACAGATGAATGAGCCATAATAATAAACATAATAAAATATTTCTTTACATTTATACATTTCTGTGGATCCAAATTAAAACAACCACTGAGAAAAAAATTATATTTCTAGAGGGGGGTTATATGTAGTCAGACAAGTATTTAACAAATATGTTCTATGTCTGTACACATAAATGTCTTAACATTTCCCTTTTTAAAATGAGGCATTGTGCTCTCTCTTGCTAAGCTGGGTCATTTCAGAGATGAAAAGAGCAGTTGCTTCTTAGTATTCACTGTTCTTCCGTCGTATAGAGGTGCTGTGCACGGTGAAAGAGGGAAGACGGAGCCTGCTCGTGTGGGATTCCGTCTAGTGTGGAATGTTGATTCATTCCCACTGCACTCCTGCTCACAGCCTCACAGTTCGTGCTGAAGGGAGTTTCTCCAATGTACATTTTCCCAGAAGGCATTTCTCCGCTTTCTGCATCTGAGATACTAGAAAGCACATTATCAGGGCCAGTGTGAGCCGTGGAGTCACTAGCAAAGCACAACGTCAGGACAGCGCACAGTGGTGCAACGCAAAGGACACTTAGAACACAGTGACTGCTCCTCCCTCCGCTGGGAGCACACACTGGCGGCTAGCTCGCTTGTCCTTCACCACCCACGTTGTGAGCTTCTGAAGGATGTCTAGGCAGATACTGAGTTTGGAGTCGCAGATTTTAACAAGTAGGTAAATTTTACTCATAGATATTGAGGGTCAACTGTCAGTACTTTTATACGTTGAATTTTTTTCTCCAAAAGACATTCTGTAGGCAGCTTATGATGATAGTTCTAAGCTTGTTTGTTTGCTTTGATCTTTTTTAAAACCTAGGTTAAATTAAAGTATAAATATAAAGCAAGAATCTTTCTGGAGGAAAGCCTGTCGTTTGGAGTCCTTGGGGAGCACGGGCGAGGTGTCACGGAGCACTATGGAATCAATGTGAGTTCTCTCACTGGGGAAACTTCCCCTGTTGGAAGGCTGTCAAGGAAAAAACGTCACCCATCCAGAGCTCATGAGACTTGGATGTGTGGGTGGATCTGGTCAGCCCAGTCAGGACCCTATCTTCCCTCTGGAGTTTTTGTTCTATTTCCCAGGGATGGGGGTAGGATGTGTAACTTGTCTTTCTGTGTCTCGTCTAGGTGCAGCTAGGTTTGTGTTACATTTGTTAAGATCATGAAGAATTGCCTTAGTAGCCGGGCATAGTGACACATGCCTGTGATCCCAGCAGTTGGGAAACTGAGGTCTTCCTGGGCTACCCAGATGATCCCACACCCAGACAGCAACAATAAAGGGATTCCCTTAGTCCTTCTAAAGATGTTAGTAGTATTTAAACTCTACATATAATTTGTGGAAGTGCATACATTCAGTTGTGCCATGTGTGTGTGTGTTTGTATAGGTGGCAGTATGCGTGGCCATATTTGTATGTAATTTTGACACACACATGTATGCTGCCAAAAACACCATTGAGAATGGATTGAGCAAAGCTACTAAAGGCCCCAAAAGTTGGAATAACATTGACCCGTTTCCTTACCCTGTGGAGAAACAGAGCCAGAGTGACCAAGTGCCGTGGGGTGTGCTCCTGGTGCCTCAGGCTGGGATAGCTGCCTTGCTGGCCACCGTGGGTAGTGACAGGGTGCCTTTTCTCCAAAATGTGCTTTGCTACCTGTGTCACCTAGTTGATGGATAAAGTACAAAATTCCCTCAGTTATGTGCACTGAGCACCGTGCTAGTCCAGAGGAAAGAGTGGAGAGTGATGCCACAGGAAAACGATGGCTGACATCAGCAAATGTGGGTAGGGACCTAGCGAGCTGTGTGTGAAATGAAATGAGGAGAAGCACCGTCCTCAGGCAGGCCTGTCAGTGAGTAGCTTTCTGTTTTCCTGGCAGATTGATGATATCGACCTCATCAGTGCTAACATGGAGAACGCGCTCGCTTCTGTCGGGGGCTTCTGCTGTGGCCGCTCTTTCGTGGTTGACCATCAGGTGATGCCTCTTAGAAATGATGTACAATTGTAGAAAATTGTCCCCACCACCCCTTCAGAGCACAGCTTCCAGTACAAGATTTAACTCATAATTCATTACACAGGTTTTATTTAAAAGCCTGGGGTTTTTTGTTTTGTTTTTTTGTCATTGTTTTAAAGGTTTTTTGTTTTTGTTTTTGTTTTTTTTTTTATAGAAGTACACTGTAGCTATCTTCAGACATATCAGAAGAGGGCATCGGATCCCATTACAGATGGTTTTGAGCCACCATGTGGTTGCTGGGAATTGATTCAGGACCTCTGGAAGAATAGTCAGTGCTCTTAACCACTGAGCCATCTCTCAGGCTCCCTAAAAGCCTGTTTTTAAAGGATAGCTCAAAGTGTTTACAGATACATAAAGTCCTTATCTCTTGTGCACCCTTGTGGTTCAGTCAGTATGCCTGCTGTTCAGATGGATGTGCCCTACTGTGGAGACTGGGTGCCTTCCAAAAGTCCCTCTCCACAGAGAGAACATCTTTGTCTTCGTTTCTCTGTAGCGGCTCTCTGGCCAAGGATACTGCTTCTCTGCTTCGCTGCCTCCCCTGCTCGCTGCCGCTGCCATTGAAGCCCTCAACATCATGGAGGAGAGTCCAGGTACAGCCTTGTGAAGACTGCTTCTGCTAACTGTGGGACCATCTCGCTTTCTGGAAGAATTAGCCCAAGGAAATCATTTAGCAAACAAAACTGAGTTACTTTAGAAATCAAGTGTCTCTAATACAAAAAAAACAAAAAACAAAAAATAACCCAATATCCAAACTTGTTGAGTACAAGTGTTTAAAATTCAACCAATAGTCTGAAAATGCCACATAGTCTGAAACATGAAGATCCAAACCATGCCTCATCCCAGCATTTCAGATGGGTGGGCTCACCCAATGCCTGGCGTTGTGAGAACCAGGACTGTATGGAGGGCTTCATCTCTAAACTAGGGGCTAGAGCCAGAGTGGCTGGCTGTTACTCCAGGTAGCAGTGCCAGGAAAGGAGAGGCCTGGGTCGGTGCCAGGCCTCAGTGCTTTCCCAAGTGTAATGGCTGCTGTGATTCGGAGATGTTAGCCGAGTGTGCTAAGCGTTCGTAGATGTCCTTTTCTCTCCTGCTTTCCTTTCAGCCTTGGAAGCATCAGTTAGTAACAATGCTGGCTTGTCTGTCAGCGAACTCTGGGCAAAGCAAAAAGTTAACTGGGAATCTAGCAAGTAGCCTTTGACTGTAATAGTGTAGCTTTTAAAACCAAAAAGGGGCTGGCAAGATGGCTCGGTGGGTAAAGGCGTATGCCATACAACATGGCAGCCTGTGTTTGATCCCCAGATCCAGGTGGTAGAGAGCTAACTCCATAATCTCCCTGTGACCTCCACACATGCACAACCCCAATATACTAGTAATGAGTACACTTAAGTGACAAGAAGGAGAAGAGGCCTTTAGCTGTCACTCGATTCCCCAGCAGAGGAGTCAGCTCATGTGGTCAGATGTGGCTCTCAAGCTTTCCTTGAATAAAAGAAAAACATCCCCAAAATGACTGTGCTGCCTACTGGTTTCGAGTTAAGAGCAGAGTAGGAAGTGTGCACCCAGTGTTCTTAGCTGGACTTGGGTGGCTCTCAGTAAGGGTGAGGGCCTGCATTTGGCTCAGAAGCCGTCACCCCTGGACAACAATGTCTTAAGTCTACCTTCAAACTCTTTGTCTATGCAGGTATTTTTGCAGTTTTAAAGAAAAAGTGCCAGAACATCCATAAGTCTCTACAAGGGTAAGTGTGTGGCTTCCAGCTGGCTTTGTCTCGGTCTCCGGAGAAGACTTTCTTCAACACCCTGCTCTTTAGGGTGTAGCCTCAGATTGTTTCATAATTTTTGTACATGAATCTCCTTAGGGAGCTAAAGGAAAGATCTAGAACAACGTGAGATCATTTCCTGTGACACCAAAGCTCAGCCTGAAGATGTGTGTGTTTACGAGCACACATCTGTGCTTGTGTGGGGAGGACCTCTTACTTTCATTTCTTCATCTTGGGTCTTGAGAAACTGTCTCCCATTGGCCTACAACCTGCCCAGCAGGCTTGCCTGGCCAGCTAGCTAACGTGAGTGAGGGCTCTGTCTTTCTCCAGACTCCCCAGCACCAGGATCCCAGCATGCACCACTACAACCCAGCAGTTTTTACATAGGTTCTGGGGATTCAAACTCAGGTCCTTGCTTTCCCTTTTCTGTTTTAGGCCTGTCTTCTCTGCCTTGACTGGCCTGCCCCCTTCCTGGGTCATTATGGTAGCTCTGCTTCATGTCTTTGTCATCCTGTCCGTGTGACTCCCTCCCCTCTTTCTGCTCTTTGGTGCTAGTCTAGTCAAGATTTGTACCCGCTCTTTCCATGTCCTCCTCTTGACCTCCCACTAGAAGCTGAGAGCTGGTTGTTCCTTTTACACTTGACCAGACTGCAGGTTAGCAGTGATGACAGTGGTGCAGAACCTCCAGGACCCACCTCAGGGCTCAGCTGGCATGTCTTATAGTGTTCAGGTCAGACCACCCTGTCTTCCTTTGCATTCTGCCGTCACTAACTTGCAGGCTTCCTTTTGAGACTTCAGGTGTCTTCATCTTGGTCTCCGGAGAAGACTTTCTTCAACATCCTGCTCTGTAGGGTATAGCCTCAGATTTTTTTCAAATTCTTGTACATGAACAGCTCAGATTTTTGTGTCTCCTCTGTGGCATGCTGAAGGACTCCATAGTCCAGGTCAAACTGTGCACTCCGTAGCTAACATCAGGAAGGCCCTGCAGGGACTTGATACACAAGTCAGCAGTGTGGAAGGCAACAGCAAACAACAGGAAGGAAGCCTAGTGGGTGGGGACACGGATTGAATGAAGATGAAACCCGAAACTGTTGGCCTTGAATCTTAACAAAGTTGTTCTCTGGGGTGTGCAGTAATGTATCAGATGGTGAAAGTGTGACAGGGTGCCAGTTACGATATACCTGCAGACAGAACAACCTTGTAGTTGCAGAGAACAGTGCTTGGCCTCTGGCTGTAAAGAAGGGAGAGCCAACAGGCTCTTTCAGAAGTTTGTTTGCTAGGTGCGTGAGACAGAACTATAGCTGATCTAGATCTAGATCTGAGGGGCTGGAGAAGTAGCTTCTTGGAGACTGGCTAGAACCCTGGAAGAAGTACTTTGTGGGTAGGTTGAGTGTGTGGTGGATGACAAGTTTCACCTGTCCACCAGTCACTGGAGAGCAGCCTTGGGTTCCCAGGTTTATGTTTGAAAGTCCTGCGCTGGAGAGACGGTTTGAGTCATTAGCACATCCATATCACTGAAAGTGTTTCCAAGTGTAGAGGGCAGGAACCACTGAAAAGGAGTGCCCAGTGAGGAGGAGGAGGAAGAGGAGGAGGCTCCTCCTTTGTCTCTGGGGTGGGGTTTGGGAAAGTCATCTACCTGCTGTTTGCCTCCATCAGAGCCTGGAGGTCTCCACTTTGTGTGGAGACAGCATTTACAGCTGACTCTCTTCCTGAACTACACAATGCTTCCTTGTTGATGGCTCTGAGCCTAGGACCAAGCCTAGTGTTTGCTTTTTTCTGTCTGGGTAAAGTGATGGGTTTATCAAGTGTGTAATAGGTTCGGAAGCAAAGTGCCTCAGCTTCTGACCCAAAACTACAACTCTGTGTCCATCTTGTCTTAGCACAAAAATAGGCATTCTGTTTCATTCCTCTCACCTGCCCTACTCATGCCTGACTCATCTGCTTATTGAGGGAAAGATGTGTCATCTGAGATGCTATTTGAAAACATGAGAAATTGGTGCTACTTCCTGTACCCATTCAGGACTCGAAGAGGATAGGTCCTGAGAGTGCGTTGCTTAGTTTCTGCGTTGATGAAAACTACTGTAGGTTTCCCCATGTGGCAGATGCCCTAGGTTCTAAGGGTCTAGACTCAGACCTGTGCCTGGCTCTATTGAGAGAACCTAATGTCTAGAATTACATTCAAACAAAGAAGATACATATAAGTAGTGTTTGGGGTGGGTTGTAAACTAGTAAAATTAGCCACCAGCACCTCACATAGTACCTCTTTTCCAAGCTTTCATCATTAATAAAATGCTTGAGGCAATTAACTGATAAGTTGGAAAGATAGTTTTCTTCATAGTTCTGGTGGGGTTCTAGTCCACAGTTTTTGGGGATTCTGGACGAGGCAGTTAGGATCCACATTGCCATTTAGGAGGTCCACCCCTGGGACCTCAGAACTTCACACTTCCTAAAGGTACAGAACTTCTGCCAGTAGTGCTCAGGGAGCCCTGAACAGTGGGGACAGTCATCCAGGCCACAGTGGTAGTCACTAAAAGCTGTCGAATCCTGAGTTAAGAACATTCTGAGGGTTGCCTAGGGCTTCGCTTCATTCTGAGGGAAACCTGGACCTAAGAACAAGGAGCTGAATGAAAACAGCAAAAGGAGTCTCAAAGGCGTGTATCACAGCTGTATCTGTGGAGATTGATAGCGCAGTGAAGGTGAACCTGAGTGAGGACCACTCATGCAGTTGCCCTGTGTCTCTGACAGTCAAGACAGGATTTTACCCTATAGAAATCTGCCTTCTTCCCTGACAAAGCAGATTTCTGTGTGCTGATCTAGGAAGAAAATCTTAATCCACACAAGATTTAAAGTAGATCACACAGATAAGACAATCGTGCCACCTAAACCTGTTGTTGATAGTCAAACTACAGTGTTGTTAGTCAGAATATAACATATTATGTCATGTCTCTGTGGCACTCTAAAACACAGATAGAAGGAAGGAGCATGTGTGATAGTACGTGTCTCTGTGGCACTCTAAAACACAGAAGGAAGGAGCGTGTGTGATAGTACATGTCTCTGTGGCACTCTAAAATACAAATAAGAAGGAAGGAGCGTGCAGGATAGTACATACACATGAAGGAAGCAAACAGGAAAAGTAATAGAAAATGATGGTACACATCCTGCTGTAAGTGGGTCCCAAGGGAGCTTCCCCCACCCCCCACCCCCAAAGGCTGCATGATCTGGATCTCACAATGGACAACTTTCTTGGGGACAAAGGAGCAGTGTATATCAGGTGAAGAGATGGAGAGTACAAGCCCAGGATGAGGGAGCTATGAGAGGAGTGTCCGTGAGGGACAGCAACAAGGATGCCCAGATCTCCACCACAGCATCCCATGAACAGCAGCCTTCCTCCTGTGCACACAGAAACAGCTCCACAGGTGTTTCTGGATGGGAAGGTACCCATTGCTGTTCCTTTCTGCATCCCCAGTTCTGCTTTTAGTTCAGTGGGCCTTGACGTGGCTATTTATTTATTCACGTATTCTGTCTATGACATTAGGGCTGAACCTAGGGCCTCACCGTGCTAGGCCAGCATGATGCCTGAGCTCCAACCCCTGCCCTAACAGTTAGGCTGTGTGGGATCTCTGTGAGCCACAGTGTACCGATGTCATGTGTGTTTGTTTCTCTAGTGTTTCTGGTTTAAAGGTGGTAGGAGAATCCCTTTCCCCGGCACTTCACCTCCAACTGGAAGAGAGCACGGGCTCTCGGGAGAAAGATGTGAAGCTGCTTCAGGAAATCGTAGATCAGGTGAGTATGCAGTTATGCAGTCGGCACCCGACGGCCCCCACCCTCACTTACCTCATCTTCGCAACACCTCCCTATCCCAAAAGGTGGGGTATGCCACAGCTGCTGCTCACCACGCTCAGGTGCTCACCACGCTCACTCTGCTCACCGCGCTCACGGTGCTCACAGGTTCCTCGCACCGTGTCAGCCTAGCTCCTGTAATTGTCAACTTGCTGCTGCATTGAATATAGCTGTGCTCAGCTTTTCTCCTAAACAGCCCCACAAAACACTTACCCACTCACCAAGGTCTCACTCTGTCACCAGGCTAGCCTGGAATCCACCACCTAGCCCAGGCTGGATTTCCAACTCACAGGCCATCCTAACTCAGCATCCTGAGTGCTAGAGTTGCAGGTGTGAGCTGCTAATCCTAATTAAATTTCTGTTTTATGAATTTTGCTAATATTTCACCTATTTTACTCATTTCTGCTAAGTTGTTGACTCTGGCCTCACTAGGCCGTTGCTTGGCCGATCCTCCCAATGGTAGCTGCCTCTCCAGAAGCCACCCTGCCTTTCTTCCAGACTCTTACAGAACTCCAGGGTGCTGCAGCACTGAGGAGATGCACACTTGGGGCCATTCCACTCTGCTGCTGCCCTGAGACAATACCACTGGGCTCCTTAAAGTAAATAAATTATCTGCCACCTGTCCCCTTCATCCCTTATCACAGTATGATGGTCAGGCTGAGAATACTTGACTGGCTGGAAAAGGACACATCACACATGTCCTCTCAGGCTCAGCTCTGCAGGCCTGAGGAGAGACAGGCTTCCTTAAAGGGGCACAGCATCCTCCACTCAGTGTCTTACCACAGAAATATACAAACGTGAAAGTAAGTTTGTGGTTAGAGGTTTTAGAGAAGGTAACACAGATGTACATGTTCAGAACCAACCAGTGACAAGCCAGCACAGCCAAGGATTGCATTATGTCCCTGTGGCTGCTGGGGCTGCTGTTTCCCACAGGACTGCTCTTACTGGTAGGCTCACAACAGTGAACACATTAGAAGCTCTAAGAATGCTGTGGGCCTATGTTGGGGCCCATGAAAGAAGCCTCCCCTGATGGTGGTCTGTGCACTGCCCCGGTGGGAGGAGTCATCTTCATGGCTGTATATGTGTTCTCTCTTAGCCCCACTCTATTCTTCTGCCTTAGCAAACACTGCTGTTCAGAGCTACAGGGCTCACATGCAAGCATGTTCAGAGCCACAGGGCTCACATGCAAGCAGTGGACACGAGCAGGCAGACTGCTGCGCAAACACTCAGACCAAACCTGAAGACGGCTGGAGAGACGGCTCAGTGTCTTAGTCCCTTTTCTGTTGCCATGATAAACCAAGGCCAAGACAACTTCAGAGAGTCAGAGGCCATGACGGTAGAGGCTGTGACAGTGGCGGCGGCAGCAGCCATGACCTCTCACCTTGATCCACAAGTAGGAAGCAGAGAGCACACTGGGAGTAGCCGGAGGATTTGAAGCCTCAAAGTCCACCCCAGTGATACCTTCTCCAGGAAGACCACACCTCCTAATCCTTCCCAACAGTTCTTTCTACCAGCTGGAGGCCATGTATTCAAATCTATGAGCCTAGGGCTTTTCTCACATCCCCACATCCAGACGTCTCATAGGCCGCCATCACAGGAAAATACAAAAGAAGGGTTCACCCTGAGAGTACAGTAGGGGCACATAAGCTTTGTCTCCTAGACCTCTAAGTGGAAATATAAATGACAGGTGCTTTTGAGAGACAGCATATCTGTCCGCCATGACCTAAGTGATTGTTAATACACCCTTTCTCCCTGCAGTGCATGAATAAGGGTATCGCGTTGACTCAGGCCCGCTACTTGGACAAGGAAGAGAAGTGCCTTCCTCCTCCAAGGTTGGTTAATATTAAACATGCAACGCCACCTTCCTGCTTCACACTCTGAAATATGTTGTGTTGGGAAAGCTTGAAATATTGCAGGATAAGAATGCGCTTACAATACACCACAAACCCTGGGTTCATTTCGCAATGATGTTTTTCATTTTAACTGAAAAGCATCACAGGACTGAGTGTCCTCCTAGGTGACTCAACAGTGAACTGTGGCGACAGACTCTTCAGCAACTCTGACAGCTGGAGTCCAACTGTAACTTGTGCTGTGGAGACACTGGAGAAGGGAACAGCCGGGATGTGCGCAGCTTGCTGACGGGGCTCACAGGTCTGCATGCGGCATCCTGCAGACACCAAACCTACAGCAGAACTGCAAAGCAAGGGACGGGGGTGGACTCGTAAACAGGCTATTGAAGTACTCAACTCTGACCCCAAAGGGCCTGCACTGTGATCAGAAGAAATGAATATTCCAACCACCATAGCCCTGGGTCAGGTCACAGAGGAGACTGGCATGATGCTAAGACTCCCTAGAACAGGTGACACCCTGACCTCAGAGATTTAAATTCCCAGCTTCTGATAGTTCCCTTCAGATTTAGTAGTGTCTAATAGCATGACATATAGTTAGTTTGTTGTATGTGACTTTCCCACACTGTAGGCTAGTGTCCCAAACTCAGGTGTTAAATGCTCTGGCTGAGTACAGTGGGAAACTGGCCGAAGTGGATTAGATTTGTAGAGAGTTTGTTGGGGTGTGGTCCCACCCTAGGCCGAGCAGTATCTGCTCAGGAGGGCCCTGGTGGACACCATGATCTTCCAGCGGATGAGACACTGCTGTGTGCTAAGGAGTGCAGTGGCCTGACCACCTCCAGGGACAGCCTGGAGCACAGAGTGTAAGATGCAGGTGGACGAGGGCGCAGAGCTCCCTGGTAGGTCAAGGTCTTCTCACATACAGACGGCCAGATGGGAACTAGGTAAGCTCACTGAATTGGCTGCTCAGGATGTCTAGAGTACTGACTCCTTCCTGTGCCCACCTTCACTGTGTCCTTGGTGACCATGCCTAGTGTTTAAAGCCATTGTTGGCAGAGGACAGGAGGGTTGCCTCACCAAGTCTGTGTCCTAAGAACTAGAAAATGTCTGCTTTCCCTTCTGAAATAGACATTCATGTCCCAGCTGAATTAAGTAGGAGTACCCAGGCAGTCACTAGTGTGAGAAATGGTGCCTTCCTCCTGCTTTGAGCTCAGGACTGCTTAGAGTAGTAGATTGTTGAGAGGCTTGGTTTCTCAGCCTCAGTGGCTTCCCCAAAATAAAACCCTTGGACTTGATACAGGTGAGTGGGGATGTCCAGGAGGCGTCACTTCTACCTGTGGCCATAGAGAACCATGTGTTAGGCTTGCAGGCAGCTGATCCCTGTCACGGCTGCTCCTTTCTGCTACATGGTAGGAAAGCAGCAGCAGGTAGATAGATGGTGGGCTTCCTGCAGAGCCAGAACTGTCTGCTGCACAAGCATATGACCCCATGTCCCTGTGGTTTGTCTTTCTCAGCATCAGGGTTGTGGTCACCGTGGAGCAGACAGAGGAAGAGCTGCAGAGGGCTGCATCCACCATCAGAGAGGCAGCCCAGGCTGTGCTGTTGTAGCTCCTGCCCGGTGCTTCCTGCCATGTCACCTGCAGACGGAACTACTCAGAGACCCTGCCATGTCACCTGCAGATGGAACTACTCAGAGACCTCCAGCTGGCCAGAGAGCGGATTGCTGCCCTTGAATCCACAGCCAGAATGGACGGTTGTATCCAGCAGGAGCTGGCTTCTAGAGGATGACAGATGACAACGTCTCACTGGTGTTTATATGGTGCCATGTGCTCTGTCAGGATGCTTCACTATCTGATATTTATATTTGCTTTTGTTTAAAACTGGAGCTTCCGTTCCCCCTCTCCCGGCTGTGGGAATGATTCAGTAAGCACTCCTCTGTATTCCGTAGAAAAGGACTTTGCAGCTGAGAGGAACTCTCTGTGTCCCACAGTTACTGTGGGAGACTGATAGACTGCGTCTTCCAGGTCCTCCAGGGAGAGCTCAGTGGTGGCTGCTCGCAGAGAGCTCTCTGTGTCATAAACGTCATGGACCATGTTGATCCTAGGACTCTGTGCTCCAGTTACTGATAGGCATGTCTAATCCAAGCGTCACTAATATTCATACTGCTTCCTAAGCAATAATCTGAATCAAACATTATTTTATTTTTGTGTAATTGACTTTATATTTTTTATATATTCTCTAGTCAGTTTTGGGAAGAGGGTTATTATTCTGGTCCCCAAATACAAATCATGCCCTTGGTATTTTTTAATATGTCCAATGTCCTTTTTCATGGTGGTTTTGTCCAGGAACGTAGAACTGTGGGCTTTTTCTAAGCTGAGAAAAATGAGAACTTTCTTCATTCATTCTATAAATTCCCAATGCCTCAGAAAACTAGGGATGCTCTAAAAGTGATTTCCGAACTGAACACTGCTGCTGTCCTTGGGAGCGTGCTGAGTGGTGTAACGGCTTGTGACATGTGCCAGTTGTGTACATGGAAGGCCATTACTCCTTCTCTTGTTGCACGGGCAGAGGAATTGGGTCATTTAAACGTCATTTTCTGATGTGCATTCATGTTTCCCGAGGATCAGCATCTTTTTAAGTGATGTGTGACATTTATAACGTTTGTATTTCATATGTGCCTTGTGATTGCTGCTGCAGTGCGGGTCCGCTCCACTCCTGTCGGGGTAAGTGTGCTTTGTCTTGGTTTTTACTGAAATAAACTCCAAGAGCTCACATTCCTGAAAGGGAGTCTGATTGGACAACAACTCGCTCAGTCAGCAGGCTCTCAGTCTTAACCTTTGGCAAATGTTAAGCAGTATTCTTTTTCCCTGTGTGTTTTTCTCTTGTTTTAGAACATAATTTAATATATTAGTCCCTTCTCCCTGCCCATCCAAAGACTGTTTACTATCTCAAAATTCTTAGGTTTCTGCTGATTTAACACTGTCTACTTCAGACTGGAAGAAGGCTGGAGCAGGGGCAGGAGGCAGGCCCATGGGAGAGTTCTTGCCTGGCAAGCACAGGCCCTGGGATAATCCTCAACTGGGGAAGGAAGCTTGGCTGAGGGGCAGGGCAGCTGCCTCTAATTACTCGGAGGAGGAGGCCCAGAGGCAGTGCAAGCACCACCTGAGGTGCTGGCCGCCATTTCTGTTGGCATGCTCCCCCTCCCCAGCTTCACAGGAAACCATCCCAAGTCCTTTACTACAGGGCCCACACTACCAACATGTAGTTCAAGCTTCAGGCTCCCCGTGGCCCCGAGGTCAGGCCCAGTTACCATGTAACTTCAGTTCATGGCAAGACACCAACAAAAGACCAAAGGAACAGCTCACTCTTGTCTAGCTTGGTAGACCAGTGCCTTAATTGAAGTTACCTGCAGGAACACGGCAACCTAGGAAAATACGGGCTGCTTCTATATCCTTAGGGGAAACTGAGGCCTCATGAGCCCGGGCCCACCTCATGACAGCCTGTTAAAGGCTCAAGTCTACATGGTCGCACTGTGGCGTTCACAGCTGCTGAGGCTTCAGAACAATGAGCATGTCACTTATGGGGACATCACATTCGCTGGCACACGTCAGTTCTCCAGGGGGGAAGTGAGCTGACACTGAAAAGTTGTCATCAGATCACCTCAGAGTTCAAGCCCAACAAACTCCAGGTGAGATGAGCCAAAGAAATACTAGGTACAGCTCAGTCAGCCCACTATAACCACCAAAGACATACATATGAAAAACCAACATTCAAGTAAGGCTAAGTTTCCTGGGAAGGGGGCCAGGTAAGAAGGCATTGAGATGAAATACTATTCAAAGTACTGAAATGAAAATTTTGTCAAGAATTATCCATCCAACCAGTCTGTCAGTAATGGAGTGAACATAAGAGCGTTCCCAGACAGAGTCTGGGGCTTAAGTCGCCTCACAGTAAGTACTGAAGAAACCTTTTGCTGTGGGAGGCAATGGTCCCAGATGGGAAAGCAAATGGATAAATGACAATAAAGTCTTCACCAAGATGAACAGACTCTCGACCCTCGGTGTCATATGAAGTATTGGAACAACAAAGTGTTGGGTTTCCATATCACACCCTTTGTTTGCAGTGTGGTCAGTGTCCTAATTACCATTGTGCTGGTTGTTTTAATGATGTGCCTAAACCTACTTTGTATTACTGTTTACTTAGTTTTGGTAAAATAGAGAAATGCTTCAGTGTAGCTCCCTTCTTGATGCCACCATGGTCATGTTTAGTACAGCTCTGTAGTAGAGAAAACGTCAAGGAAAAAGGAACAGTCAACGGACAGCACAGCAAAACTGGTGATAGCTGAAATGAAAGCACAAACTAAACCCCAAGCCAAAACAATAACAAGATAGAAGTCAAAACTCACAAACCAAAATTAAGGACCCAGGAAACAAACTCCACATGTTCAGCTCCAAGTAGACTTCTGTCCACCAGCCATACCCCAGCTTCTCTGCATTGTCAGAAAATACACACACACACACACACACACGCACACACACACACACACACGGCAGGCAGGCACATCCCACCCAGCCAGCATTGTCTATGGGTGGGCCTACAACTCCTCACAATAGCTCCTAGTGAGATGCAGCAAGAGATGGGCCAATCACAGAGTCACAACCAATAATGAGATTTTTCTAGTTTTTTCTCAAATCCCTGACGGGAAGCACCTTAAGACAGTAAGGGTTTACTATGGCCTTGGCATTCAGAGGACAAGGACAGCATGGAAGGAGGCTCAGCTGGTGGCACTGGCAAGCAGGATGTGTGGCAGTTGATTTTACCGACCGCAATGACAATCTCCCAGGCCTCCTAAGGACCCACTGCCTCCAGCCAGGCCACACATCCACAAGTTTCTCAGAACAGCACTGCCCGCGTGGACTGACAGACACACGAGATGGCACCAGACCTTTCACATTCAACCCATGACAAAGATACTTTGCAGTTAACAAAGAGCAATCGGAATAACGAGAGCAGAGACCCAGGAAACGTCGCGCTCTCTGGGATGTGGGTGCTGGCATTACTAGTCAGGAAGTGAGTGAGGGTGCTTCAGTGGCCTTAGCACCTGGGCCCTAAAATTCTTCAATAGCATCTGGCTTGCACAGACCTCACCATCTCTACACCCAGAATTCACAACGAACTAGCACTGATGGGTTTAAAGGATGTGGTCCCACAAGACACTTAGATGCTGTAACACGATGCTCTGTCTCCAAGGTACCCTAGAACGTGTGAAGAACATCTGAGGCCTCAGAGGAAGAAGCTTCATCATAACGTCCCCTCAGTCCCTCCTCAGAAGCCCAGGAATCCTAAAGCCAAAACTTAATATATTCAAAATGATCAACAATTGCCTATCAGTCCACAGTCCCATAAACACAGGAAGTGTCCTTCCTATGGGCATGAGAGGTAGAGCCCTTTCTTCTTGCTCTCCAACAAAATACCTTGGTTTGCTTCATTTATAAACCACAGAAACAAACCTCTTGTGTTGCAGAACGTTGGCCAGTTAAGACCAAGGTACTGAGAGGGTAGAAGGAGGGTGCCATCTCGCTCTAACATAGCACTCTGTTGCCCAAATGCTGCCAAGGGAAGGAGCCCAGGAGCTGAATCCTTGAAGCTCTTCTCTAAAGGCAATGCCTTCCGTCATTGTCATGAACCCCAAGACCTCATCACCTCCTGAAGTTTCAACAGGGATCTGGAGAGACACATACACCTGAAGCACAGGTAAAGCGGGTTTCCCACAGTTGTGCCCTGTCTGAGGGGGACTCCTTCAGGGTCAGCCGGACAGTAGGTAGAAAAGTCTAGGGGTCTCCGGTGAGCATGTGACAGGTGCCAGACTCCTTGGAAGTAAAGGCAGTTTAAGGTCAGCCTTACTCCAGCACAGGTCTCTGTGTTCCATGAGACGCTCTCTCAGTCCAGAGAGTAAATTAACACAGCATGCGTGACACAGTACAATAAAGCCGTCAGGGCTTTTGTTTTCTGCATGATTTCTATCACCAATGTATGAAAAGCATACTAGTTATTGATATTTGGCCTAAGTACACACATGTGTGACATAAGCAACTGAGGAGAGTGGGTCAGAGCTCTTTTGCGTGTTCTTGAGTTATACAATGGTAGCTGTCTTTGAGTGTGTGTATCTGTGTGTGCCTGTGTTTATGTGTGTGTCTGTCTATATGTGTGTATATGTCTATGTATCTGTGTGTCTGTTTATGTGTGTGTGGATTTGTGTGTATCTGTGTACATGTGTCTGTATGTGTCTATGTATCTATGTGTCTGTGTGTGTCTGTGTGTGTGTATTTGTGTTTGTGTGTCTTGCAGTCTATTTGTGTGTGTATGTATCAGTGTGTGTGTCTGTCTGTCTGTATGTGTATTTTCGTGTGTCAGTCTCTCTGTGTGTATGTATGTGTCTGTTTGTGTGTGTGTCTGTGTGTGTGAATCCAGAGGAGAGTGTCCTGGCATACGAGCTGGGGATGAACTCTGGTCCTCTGTGAGAGCAGAAAGCACTCCCCTGAGCTGTCTCTCAAGCCTCTAAGAACTAACCAGCCGATCAGTCACCTCCCTCGGCACCCTCATGACTCCACTGCTGTGAAGTGTCAATGGATGGCCAGGGAAGAAAGACCAAGTTCACTTAGATTTTGGGACTTTAGAAAGGTTTGTCTACATTGAATTTCTATCTCACAAGTCTGGCGAGTCTCCCTAGTTCCAAATGCTCTTTTGATGGAGTATTCCTTCCATCTGTGTGACACATCGCTGTGATGTCTCCTATGGACACAAGCAGCCATCTCTAGCTAGTAGAACATATTTCAAAGAGGGTGGGACAGAAATCAGGACCGTACGGCTGTTCCTGGGTGAGACCATCACTCCATTTTGAAAGGACAACTGGCAAGCTTAGGTCAAGGTAAAAGGGCATGGACTTTCTAAACAAAAAAGGTTTAGTCCTTTAAAAAATTGAGCAAGGAATAAATAAAATCTAGAGTAGGTGACCAACTTACCAGGGATGACTCTGCCCTCTAGGGGAGATGCATAATATTTGAGATGGGCCTGAGGAGGAATAGAAGCCTGCCATAGTGTGCTCAAATGTCCGAGGTACAGAGGACAGCGAAGAGCAGTCTGTGAGGTCAGACGTGCCGGGGTCTTCAGAAGATCGGGGGAAGCAGAGAGGGTAGATGAAGTCATACAGTGTTTGTGGGCCATGCCACGCATTTAGATCTAGCTTTGATTTCCTATTGCTATAAAGCAGTACATCAAAAGTTAATGGTTTAGATTAATAAACATCTCACTACTAGAACAAAACAACAGCTCCTAGTCCCCTTCCTGCAAGCTCCATCTGCGTCTCTAGCAGGGACACACCTCTGATTCACACACACGATAGTGTCAGGCTAGAGAAAGTCCTCTGGACACAGCTGACCATACTGCCCAGCAGTGAGGAGATGCTGGCTTGTTCTCTCATGGGAGACTGTCTGAGGAGAGCCCAGCACCTCTCCTCCCCACCTGCCTCAACTTGAACAGTCATCACACGCCCTGCACCTTCTTTTTCCATCTGTGGCAAACAGTTGTAAGATGTACATGATGAAGGACTGAGGACTCTGGACCACAGGGAAGGAGGACACCCAAGAAGGAGCTCTGTGTGACATCCTAGAGTGTCTCCTGTAGGGTACTCCCCTGCCCCAGGGCAGTAGGAGACAGGCTCTACTCCAGCTTCCCCCAACTCAGGGTTCCATTGCTTGCTCAGCCCAGGGCACAGCAGTAAGATCTG